GTTAACTCTATTATATCCCAAAGGTCATATCCTGCTTCCCTGGGGGTGTGGCTGATGACTGTTGGATTTTTGGGTGTGAGGGATTGTTGATTCTAGGGATCTTTCTTTCTAATCCAAGCTTCCTGACTCCAATCTTTCTGACAAGATTATCACATCTGCATTTCTGCAGACCTGGTTTCTGTTTGGGGCAGAGAGACTTGGGGGGGGGGGGGTTGGTTTCTGCCTTTAAAATCCTTTGAGGAAATATATTCTGCCTTTTTAATATTTCCCAAAATATTTCTTTTTCTGGATTCTTCCCACAATTGCATTATAGTACAAGTTTTGCAATCAACAGATAAAAATTGCACAAATGATTTGCAGAAGTAAGCATTCAGAATGCTCAAGATGTATTTTTAATAAAGGTATTATACCAGAATTTTTAATTAGCAACTTAAAAATCCTTGCTGGAATGATAAAAATATTCACATTCATATGTTATTTTGAATATATTTTCAGTTGAAAGATTCTGTCAATATAGCTTTACAATATAGTAGAAGTAGGTAATCTGATCATGATTATCTGGTTTATCTCATGAAATCAACATCAATTTTGCAAGTTTCCTACTCTCTTCCAAAGAGAAGAATTTCAGGAATGGCTGCCAATTCCCAAGGAACTCCACTATCTGCTGAGCATCTGGCAGTAGCATTGTTGCAACACCAGCAGCAAGCGGATACACAGATGACCAATTTGTACAATGCCATAATAACAACTAACCCGACAGTTCGGACAGAATTTGCCCCAATGTGTAGCAGCACAACTTGGGGCTCAGCCAATGATCCTGCGTTCCCATGGGTGAATTATGGGGATGAAGGAAGAAAAATGTTTTCAATAGGTATGCAAAATATGAACTAAGATTTTGAGACTGCTTATCTCTATTATAATTGAACTATGATTTAATGTTGTCACAAATACAAAGATTTTAGGAGAACAGAATGAAACAAGCAAATCCTGGCATCATTTTTACTCATCAATTCCAAATTCCCTTCCCTCCACCTCTTATTTGGGGCCTGCAAAGTAGTGGGTACAGGAAATTAATTTTATATAGCATCCACTCAAAATAATTTTCTTTCCTAGCTAAGTTGTAATATTTGGACCTGGTTCTACTGAAAAAAGAGTTGCTAGATCAATTGAAGTATAGCTATAGGTGGGCTTACCTCCAATTATTTTCCTATGGTTTTTCCTGTTAAAATGCTTATTATGGGCCAACATCCCTGCAGTTTAAGCCTAAGCTTAATTTTAATTTTCTCAATTTTCAATTATACCATTGGGCATATACATTAACTTCTGACTTTCTTTGGAATGGAAATTATTTTGAATGTGAGCCTCTATGGCAAAGGTGTCAAACTGCTGGCCTGCAGGCCGGATGCGTCATGCTGAAACCCCTCCCACCGTCAATGGAAAAAAAGTTACGATATGCTGCAACACATCACATGACATTGCGAGTTTGACACTCCTGCTCTATGGGTACAACTAGAAAGTTATTATTTGGCTCCTCTGAATTTCTGACAGGTGTTCAGCTGTAATTTGTTTGGAAATTAGCTTTATTGAAAACAACAAAGACCAAGACATATTACTGGGAATAAGATTTAAATCTGATACTATTCATGAGAAATAGACTGTTTAAAATAATTCCTACTTAAAGATGGTGCATGAAAAGTTTTTTTAAAAAAAATTTAGCACCTTTAATTAGCTTATCACTACTACTACTTTTAAGACTTTGGGAATGCTATAAAAAGAATACAACCTATCTAAAATTGCTGAATGGCAATATACTGTATATAATGAAACATTTATTTTCCCAATCTGGATGCTCTGATGCTCTGAATTTTTAAAACTTTGGCTGGTTAGCACCTTTTCATTTTCATATTGAAAACAGTGGTACCTACACGTTTGTGAACATCTTTAATATTTCTCCATAAATATGACCTAAAATCTTATCTGTTCTCCATACAAATCCTAAAACTAAATAAAGAGCACAGTTAATTGAGTCAAAAACATTATACTTGTTCATTGATTTATTGAAGACAATGATCCAAAGCTATATATTTGTGTGTAACGAAAGGATGTGATCATCAATTTATCTGAAAGAGAAATCAGGTGTATCATTGTACCTACTGCGGAATCTGATAATCACGTCTGTGTGTGATGTCATGCCTTACAGGTAGGTAGTGCCTTCGCTCAGTGACCATTTGAAATTACAATGGTGCTGAATTAAGGGACCTATGAGCCCTGCCTGAATTTATGGCTGCTGAAGCACCCCCATGGTCACATGAACAAAATTCAGGTGCTTGGCAAGCCACCTACTCTTACAGCCAACTGCAGGGATGTTGCAGCAGCTCCCCTACCTATCTTCCTCCCACATCCCTCCTTTTCAGATCCCTGCAGGTTTTGGGCCTGCTTCCCACCCTACTGGGTCTCACATCCTACTCCCCAACCCTTACCACAGCTCGGTCACTTAGGTTTTCTGTAGATATCATTTGGGAAATAGCCTCTCTACCACATGGCCTTCCTACATGAAGGCAGCGTGGCACCGTCCCAGAAGTGTTGGAAGCAGCTGCAATGAATTGTGGTCACTCTGAAATAGCACTTGCTTCCAGGAGGGTCCCACAGTCTCCATACTGTAAGGAGAGGCCGAGGGGCAGATCACTTGGCTCCCCTTCTCAAATGTGGAGCTTTAACTGGTAGATTTGTTAGCTGGGGCACAGTCTGGTTTTCTATGATAAAATTATAATACAAGAGGAAAGTTGAAGTCCCAGCAGTTAAGAAAAGATAGATCTCATTTATGGAAAATAGTCTATAATGCAACTCCAGAGGAAACACTACAAAATATTCTTCACATATTTCCTTTGCAATATATGCCATACATCAGGGAGATATATGAGGGTGGTCTTAAATTGCACTAGCCCCTTATCAAGAAGGGGCGGGCGCAAAATTTAGGAAACTCACTTATGCTGATTGGCATTTCATAAAGTTAAGACTTAATTAAAATGTAACAACTATTTGCTTGAATTATTATCAGCAATGTGCTGGTATAATATTGCACCATGCAAAAGAACATTTAGAGCCATTCCATGGCAATATCCTTTGGCTTTTAATATATTTACAGGAGGATTAAACAGCATGCTATTTTAACAATGTCAGCATATGTAAAGTCTTATCTCACTCAGTGCTGCTCAAAGACACATTACCCAGTTATTTTGTACTCAAAAGGAATTTTGTCAACCACACACAATTGCTAGCATTTTCCATAGTATTTCTTCATATTAAAAATTATATTATCACAATTTCTCTTCTGCTTTTTTGCAAATAGCCTCTAGTTCTATCCTGGCTACATTACAAGTTTAAAGGTGCCGGAACTCACACATGTCATACAACCTGCCTTGCCTACCCTACAAGGTTCCATCCAAAAAAGGTGCTGGAACTCCGTTCTGGGCGTTCTATGACAAAAAAAGCCCTGAGTTTAAATAATTGCAAAACTTAACATTTATGAAAGGCAATACAAAGAGAAATTCCTCTCATGAATAGTCAATATAGCTAGAAGAAGAAAATAACTCATCTTTTTGACAGGTTGCCATATCAGATACAACAAGGAGAAATACAACAAATGAGATTTTTGCTTCTCTGAATCTTCCTATCAGAAGAGGTATAATTCAGCTATGAGATGACAGGAAGCTTTTTTCAGTAATCTTATTTCTAATAAAACTGACTTCTGATTCTGGAAGTTGACTTTTTTTCTCTAAATATTCCCATTTAATGGCTATGCAAGAGCATTTTCACCTCTCCTTTTCCACTTGAGATGGGCCCGATTCATCATGTGAAAGTTTCGTATTTCCACTAAATGGAAATTTTGTAGAGAATTGAAGGAAACGCCAAGGTTTACAATAATATAAACCAAAAATGTTTTTTTTTTGTGGTGGCTGCAGTAGATAAACTTCAACAACTTTAAAAGGGAATGTGTATATTATGCTATTACATATGTTCATACAATTAAAGCAAAGATGCTTACACTTCCTTCCCCACATTTAGTTCCTGTCCTAACATGAATGTCAGAACTTGAGAAGTGCAAAGCTTTTATTTGGGATTCTGAATTAATTACTCTGTGAACAGACTTCTCCTGGCTCGATTCTAAAACATCAGAATGAATTCAGGATAAACAACACCGAAATTGGTTTACAAAATTCAAAACCCCAGTACTTAGCAACAGTTACTAGCTTAAATTAGTGCTATTTTTAACAGTAGTTGAAAGAAATTCACAGAGGATAAAAATGAATATAGTTCTTAGCTCCAGAACTTTTGATAATGAAATAGGGGATACAGCTCTACCAACATCCATTAAAAATGCTTTTAGGCTCTGCTTCTATATTTGGTCAACTGCCAAAGAAAAAGATAGCGCTGGATTGTATACTATATGAACACTGGTCCTGGTCCCACAGAAACCCCTGCTTTCCCCTATAAGAAATCCAATATCAGGGAGTGCAGGCTCGCCACTCTACTCCCTTCAGTGAAACTACTATAGAGAAGAGTTACAGTCGCCAAACGTGTTGTGAGGACTTTCCTTTTCTCCACGCGACTTGCTCGCAATAGCCTGACAGGCAGCTTGACTTGTTTGCAACTGAACGCTTAGAATAGAATAGACTCACTTTCCCACCTCCCAAGTAGCGGCGAAATATAAAGCAGCCGTCCGAGAGCGAGAGCCAAGGCGTCTGCCTAAGTAACAGCTCCCCACTAGTCCAAAACGGAAAGGCACAGACCGACATAAGATGGAATATCCCGCCCAGCAGCTTCGCCAGTCTACACCTTCGCACCTGGGCGGTTAGCTGCGTCTCTCTTAACAGAAGAATTCCGCCTGCTTTGGGTACGTCCTGGTTCCCGCCTAGTTTTGTTTTTTTTTCCCCTTGCAGGTGGAGTCACGAGAGCGCCGCCTAGCGGGCATGCAGTTGTAAAGGGCAGGGACGGCTTACCTAGTCCAGGTACGAAGGTGTTGAGGAATAAACAGAGGACTGCTACAGGGAACGGCATGTAGGGGATGGCGGCACGCAAGGGTCCCTTCTTCTCGCGCACTTGCACTACCACGCCGCCGGAGGAGGAGGAGGCGGCAGTGGTGGCGGCGGCGACATTTCCTCGCGCGGCATCGCCAGCAGTCGGCCCGGCAGCGTCCCCTTCTTTGGGGCCATGGTCCATGGTGCCCGCTTTAGCCGGAGCAGCGAGGAAGCGCCGGAGTAGCTGCGCCCCAGAGCGTCTCCGCTCGAGTGAGGCTCTGACCGGGACTCCGCGTCTGCCTAAGGACAAGGAGGCGCCTAAGCTCAAGTGGAGGGATCTCAAGGCGAGACGCGGTGCTAAACGCGCGCCTAAGCGCCCGACTACGCCGCTTGGAGAGACCGCGCTACGCACGCCCTCGCCTTTCGCTTATCCTCTTCCCCCGCCCGCGCTTCGCCCGCCCGAAGGCGAGCGGTAGATTGATGGCCTTTAGGTCTCTTTCCTCAGGTCCTGTCTTCACAGACTCCCTCCGACTGCCACGTTACAGGGGGACTTGGCTTATTCGCACCTGTTCTGCCTCGTCTAGTAGTTTTTGTAGAAAGTTATGGAGAATCACTCTTTACCCCCCTCTAATATTTCCTTTCCCGCGCATAGACATTCCAAGAGTGCAGTAGTTTTAATGGGGCAAACACACTTGTCTAGACATGAAACAGACAAGTACTCTGCCTCTGCAGAAAGGAATTGTGATTTTTTTTTTCTTTCCAGCTTTTAAACAGAGGCTCTGACCCCGATAGGGCCATTGAGTGCTCATCGCTTAGTATAGGTAGTCCTCGACTTACAAGAGTTCATTTAGTGACCATTCAAAGTTACAATGGCACTGAAAAAAGTGACTTGTGACTGTTTTTCCACACTATTGCAGCATCCCCGTGGTCACATGATCAAAATTCAGACCCTTGGCAACTGGTTTATATTTGCCATGTCATGAGGTCATGTGATCTGACATGCAAAGCCAATGGGGAAGCCAGATTCATTTAACAACCATGTCACTAACCTACCAGCTGCAATGAATCACTTAACAACTGTGGCAAGAAAGGTCCTAAAATGGAGCAAATCTCACTTAACAAATGTCTCACTTAATAACATAAATTCTGGGCTTAATTGTGGTCTTAAGTGGAGGACTACCTGTATTTGTTTAGTTTAGGTGCTTGAACTGACTGGAGGCTTTTGCAATGGCAAAACTAATTCAGAAGTGTAGTATAAGTATTATGTTCCTATAAATTAAGATTAGAAGCAAATCACCAAAATATTTGTTCTGGTGTAGTTCAGATGCATTTTTCTAGTGCGCATTAAAGTATACTTTTTCTAGTTTCCGTCCATCTCTCCAATTTCATATTTTTCTTGATTGACTCTCATTCAATTTTTATTTCCTTGCACATAAACTCCTACAAGGTGTCTCCCATGTTTCATATAAACTTGGGTTTTTTTCTGTTAATTTTACATCCACCGAGGAAGTTATAACCACATTTATTGCCATATGATATGAGGATCTATTTTTTCTTCACTCTGGATCCTCAATCCGGAATCATATTCTCATCTCAGCTATGGCTTTCCCTTGCCTTGAGTTGGAGATGCCATTTCTGATGCTATGACCTTGACAACTATCTGTGAAGGAGCCCAACTGATATCTTAGTTCTTCCCTTATCCTTTGTCCTGATTATCAAGGCAATGGGACCAGTTTTATTGTCTTCCAATTTTTTTAAAAAAATACATAGATCATAGAGAACACTATAGAGAAAAGATGCAGCTAGTGGAAATAATAAATCAGTGAAGCACTATGCATACTTCCAATAGGGGTTTGGATTACAGTAATGTTTCCCAACCTTGGCAATTTTAAGATGTGTGGACTTCAACGCTCATAGTTCCCCAGTTGCAGAGCTGAAATCTACACATCTTAAAGCATGCTGTCTGGACAATTCTTTGAATTGGAGTCCACATACAGTATATTAAAGTTGCCAAGGCTGAAAAATACTGGGTTAGAGAATGCAACCCATTGGTTTGACTCTTCATCTACTTTCAAATATTGGCAACAAGTGCGGATAGATTGTAACTTAATAAGTCCAGGTGTGGCACAGCCAAATTTCAAAAAAATCATCAATTTCCAAAAAGGTCCTCAACAAACTAAGGATCCACAACAAAGGAGGTCTGGTGCTAGCATAAAATACAAAATACTATTTTCATGTCAGAATGCTTTTGTCCAGCTCAACAGCAAGCTGGCTGTGAAATGGAGACATGACTTCAACAAATGGTCAGTCTTTCTGCTGTAGAAAGCAGGCTGTATTCCAGTTAGAACTGACTGGTGGATTAATTATGGGAGAAATTCTGGCTAATCCCACATTTTCTTGAGATAAAAGAGATCAGGCTAGGACATGATGTTTTTCTGCTGTAGCATCAAAGTTATCCCACAGTTTCCTTTGGAATTGGGTAAACCCCCACTGTGAGCATCTTCTGGAAAGCAAGAAAGGCAAGCTGTATTCCTATGGACTTCTTTCTATTTTGCAAGTTTAAATTGTTTGATTGCATAAAATTGTTGCTGTATTTAGGGGTATATTTTAGTTAACTATAATGGTAGGGCATTATACTGTTAGATTGTTTTTCATGAAAATGTTAGTGAATACTTTAATGTTTTACTTCTTACTGTAGGTGTGGGTGTTTTGTTGCTTATATTGTCATGCATTTTATAGGCATTTTAACTGTTGTAAGCCACAAGAAGTCAAAATGAAATTGGTGGCATTTAAATTTGATTGATTGATAAGTAAATAAATACATTGAACTGTATAAATACATTGTATAATATAAGTACATTGTATAATAAATACATTTTACTAACAGTGAGAAAAATTAACCAATGGAACAACTTGCCTTCAGAAGTTGTGGGTGTGCCATCACTGAAGGTTTTCAAGAAGGGACTGGACAGCCACTTGTCTGGAATGGCATAGGGTCACCTGCTTGAGCAAGGGGTTGGACTAGAAGACCTCCAAGATCCCTTCCAACTCTGTTACTCTGTTATTCTGTAATATAGTCTGGAATTGTTTATCAATTATGTATAATTGTAATAAACAATTCCATTTTCATATAGACACATATTGCACGAGATCATACACACTGTAACAATTGAAAAAGAGGGGAAATTATAAGAAAAAGCAACTGTGTGTTTTATTAGTATCAGTGTTTTTTTTTTGTAAACTCACACATGTCATACAATCCCTCTTGCCTACCCTACAAGGTTCCATCCAAAAAAAGTGCCGGAACTCCGTTCTGAGTGTTCTATGACAAAAAAAAGCCCTGATTAGTATTATTTGTTTGTTGCATGAAAACTGATTCCAATGCACAGGAATAGAATTAAATATTTAATTCCTATACAATGAGTGAAAACATAGCCCTCCAGTTTGTCATGATTTTTTGTTTCTTTTTCCTGTCTGAGTTATGGACATGTCCTGATACTGTGAGTTGTAAAAAAAATTTAATAGATGATGAATAATTGTAATTCATTCTGCAACCTACTGTGTAGAATGTTAATAGAAGTGTCAGTTGTTTGGAATAGCGACAATGATGGTGACGGAATATGTAAAATAATGAAAGGAAATATTACAAAGAGTCACAAGGAAAAATGTAGACATGTGACATTACAGATTAAAGTTGACCTCCGTTCAACTCAAGGCAATTTTTCTTGAATTGTGAATCAATGTAAACCATTTAAACTATTTACATTAAAAAGATATGGAGAAATGAGCTGTCTATCATTTTAACTAATCATTTGAATTTGTATAAATTGGCTTTATTATCACAATGATAACAAAAATGTAAGAACGATAAAATAAAAACATCCAAGTTAACAGATAGCATTAAACTCAGTAAAGTCCTATCTGAGTTGTAAGTCAAAATAAAGAGCTAGATATTGGGGGGTCTCCCTGAAATCCTGTAATGATGAGTTCAGTGAATATGAACTGAAGCAGTTCCATAATCAGAGAGACACTATTGAAAATACCTGTTCATGCTCACCATCTTGATTGCTTCTTTTGTCTTAAAGACAATAAGGCTTCAAATTATAAAATGCATTGGATCCAAATAACAAGGATCCAAACTAAGACTTTAAAAGGCAATGCCATTACTTTAAACTGAGTTCAGAATTGCACTGGCAACTAGTGCAAATTTACAGTAAAATGTACACGATCTGACGAACTTGAGTCCCCACATATTAATATTATGGCTTGATTGTTACTAAAGCAAAGATAATTAAAACCAAATTAATGCTTTATAGTACACTCCCAGCTGGTAAATGAATTGAAAAAAATCTTGATCAATACTGTATTACCATCTGCAGAGATGATGTACTTGATGCAAGGAGGGCAGTTCATTTCCTCTGAGATCAATATGGTAAAGTGGTGTTGATCCTATAGCTTCTCTGGATTAGGCTTCAGCTTGTTCATTCTCATTTGTCCCTAACCAACTCCAACATCCTTCTTGGAAAGAAAAAAAAAAATGAAATTTGAAAGAAAAGTTGAGTTCCATTTGCTGAAATGCAGAGCTTAAGCCAGAATTCTCAGCTCTTTCCTTTGGCATTTGATAATGTTATCTCAGTATTGTTCAATAATGTAAAAACACATGAAAAAGAAGACTTAAGATTTTATCATCATTATCATCATGTTCATAATCATCACTTGTATGCTGTCTAACTCTCAGCAACTCTGGGTGGCTCACAACAATCAAACAAATTAAAACAAATTACCTACCTAGGGAAAGTTCAGCCCTAGGTGATGAAGTAATAGAAGTCAACTTTCCTTTCCTGAACTCAAAAGTCCAAGGGAATGTTGATTTTAATCACAAAATAAAGAATTTATTACTTCTTTATAGAAAAACTATGACAAATCTAGTCATATATTGTAAATGTAAAGTTTTACAGTTTAAAGATACATTGCCAGCAAACATTATATATTGCAAGGTCAGGTTCCTCCCAGTTGTAATATGTATCTGTGAAAGCTGGTTCGTCAAAAAAGCTGAATGAAGAAAAATCAGTTTCTTAGAATGGTGGCACTGGGGAAGTAGCTTTGAGTACTTTAGGCAAGAAAATAAAATAAATCAAGTAAAATGCACTGGAAGAACTAATATTGAGGCTATTTTGGGCCCATAATGTCAAAGCTGGAGTATTCGAAAAAGGCTCTGATCCTGGAAAAATCCAGCTCTAGGTGCTATGATTGACATATGAGCTTGAGCTTTCAAGAATCTAAAAAAGCAGTTACTGATAGAAAATTCTAGCAAATCTGTGTCCATCCCTGAGTCACAAAGAGTCAGAGGTAACAACAACAAAAAAACCACCTCATTTGAATTACATAATGGAAAGGCTTCTCTAACAATTATCTGGGGACTGGCTCAATTTACAACGTACCCCAGTCTAAAGGGAGCTGGGGTGGGATGTAACAGAGGCAAAAACAGAAAAATAAACTGTGGCATCAGCAT